GAATTCCATCACGAATAATTTTTTTTCTGGAAAATTGTCAGCAAAATGCTTTTGTACGCTTGTAAACAATATAATGAGCTCTCACTGGCATAATTTTAGCAGCTGTCGGACGAGTGGCTTAGAAATGACAGCAGTCTGAAGTTGATTGCAGTTTTTTCATCTCACTGTATATTATATCTGTATATCTATTGGCTCTTTGTGGCAATTTGGTAAGTACTTACTTCCAATGACGAACCCATGTTATTATAAAGGGTTAGGATGCTGTTCTGTGAGATGCCAATAAACCCATTATTTGGTAATGCGATTTGCAGGGTTGCCGTAATAACAAACTAAAATTTTTCTCTCTTTGCCAATGTCAGCCGTTGTATAACAAATGAGATTTCTCTCTCATGTTTTTGCTTTAGGCATACATGGATTTATAGAGTCTTAAGGTGCATATTATGGATTTCTTTGCTGGTATATGTCATCGAAGGCTTTCAATGTATAAGAAACAACTTCGGCAGAGTTCAAGAGCGGCTTTGGCATCCATTTATGATATGCCACAAAATAAGTCATGCGGAGACTTCAAGCTGCATATGTGTACCCTCACCTTTATATATCCTTATTGCCAGAAAAAGTAGGCCTTTTGAATCAAAATAGAATTGGGAGTAATTATCCCCAAGCTCATTAATTTTGGCCCTGAAATCAAATCCTAAATTGCCCTAAATGTAGGTATTTCGCTGATTTATTCATAGTTCTGGGAACTGTTTTGAAACAATTCTCAAAACTTTCCCTCCGTTTTCTCCAAAATATATGGGCTATTTCAAAATGCTTTCTCCTTACACTTTTCCACAATGCTGTTGCAAATGTGTGCGTGAAGATGGTTCTGACCCTGATGATTTCTTAATGTAAATTATGTGACGATCTTCAAGTGTGTGGTTGACTTCTAATGGCATCGTCGCTTGATACCGCAACTAAAAGTGTCAATATCAATATTTCATGTGGTTGTCCCCATGAAAAATTTAATGGATGGAAATGCCTTTTCATTGAGGTTCTCATATCGAAATGTTTTTAATATCTGTGATAAGAGAGAAACTTATAAGTAATTCTATATTTGCCCGAACAGACCAACTAAATGTTGCCACTCAGTATCGAAAATAATTCATTCGTTTAGAAAGAATATTTCCAGTCTAACTTCCCCAAACGGGTGCGGTGTCTTTCATTTATTTTTAAATTATCCGCTGATTCGGTAGAGCATAACAGCAGCAGCAGCAGCAGACCAGAAGACTAAAGAATTGAAACGGTAGACCCAACGAAGCGTAGAATCTTTAATTATTTTGCCTTTTTCACTGGAAATATTTCACTTTGAGTTCTCGTGAGTTCTCCTCTCGTTTTATGAACTAGAATTAGTTTCTTTGCTCGATGCGTATGTAGCTACGTACAAACATACATACATACATATATCTCCTTCACTGGACCACGTTTCTAACAATGGCAGCATGTTTTTATTGTGTATCTGTCGGCTTTTGCCGCTGCTGCTGCCACGGCCACATCGAACGTTTGCTTGGATAATTTATTATTCTAAACGATAGACAGATAGTTTAAATGCCAACAATTTTAATGGGTTATTAATTAACGGTTATTTTGATAATGTTATCGTTTCTTTGCTCGGATTAGTCGAATGCAAGGGGGCAAAGTGGGTTTTGGGGGCGAAAGGTAAACGGGGAGCGATGAGTTCGAGTCTTTTGGAAATGGTTTTGAAAATTACGAAAAACCACACAAAAGGGGGAGGTGGGGAGTATTGAGGAAAGTTTCTGATTATAGGGATGCTATCATAATGGACAGGCATTTTAAATGAATTTTCCAATTGACTTGTTTTTAATAATTCCGTTGGTCTTAAAATAGGATAAGAAAAATCACCAGCTATAAATAGCTAAAAATTTTTGTTAGGAAAATATTTTTCTTGGAATTCTTTTTAAATTATTTTTAGTACATAATTTCAAGTGACAAACAAATTTTTTGGCAGTCATTTCACTGATATCATAATCACGTTATTGCAGGAAATTGTGTAAAAAACAAATATTTCTACGCCTTAAATAAATTATTTATCAGAATCATGACCAGGAATATTTTCGTGGAAAAATATAATAAAATTTAAAACTGATAAGTTAGTAAATTTATAACTTATATTTCACCTTTAAATCTTATTCGATTTTTTCCACGAAAATTTTCAGGCTTATCATCCGGTGTTCTAGAGAGTAAATTCAAGTGAAATCGCTAAGGCTTGCCAATACTGAAATGGCTTATAACAATTGAATACCTTCCACCATTTTGAAGGAATTTGGAAATTGAAATAAAATACGTTGAAAAATAAAAATACCGATTATAACACAGGCCTTGTTCCAGAACCTGTCAGGATGTAAAAATGTTACTACGATAACCTATTTTTCCTTTTATGATATCAAATAAGTGTTTTCCCAGCAGATGTATAACCTCAGCCTATTATTTATTTCCATTATTTATATTTTGACCTGAATAATGATTATTCAAAATGTTGACCCATTACGGGGATTGTACCAAAGGAGTGGGCCGATATTTTCCATATCTGACCTGAGCCTAATATAATTAATTATATCCTGCCCGATTTGGACTATATTGCTTCCTTCTGTTTACATGAGATATGCAATAATATGTGGAAAATTTTGAAATACGAGTGAGGTATCGGGCATTGCGGTCCGAGTGTTCTACTTTATCTAATTCTGATAAAAGAAAATAATAATATGAAATTTAAAGCAAATTGTGACCCTCTATCCACCTTTATCTACCAATTTCACACCAGATCATGTGTAAATAAATATGTTGCCATGCGTGACATTGAAGAAGAGAATCTAATGTTTCTTTCGCATTTGATGAGAGCCAATTTTTTGCCCGCTTTGGGGGAAGTATCACAAAAAAGGGTGGATATATCCCATATTCACACCAGATCTTCTGTTTGTAAAAATATTGCAATATGTGAAATTTAAATAGAAACAGATGCTTATTTTGCATTTTCTGAACTTCATGGTTATTTAAAATTTTGACCCGTTGTGAGGGAGGTGCCAGAGGGAGTGGACCGATAATACCCATCTTCGAATCAGATCTTGTATTTATAGGAATATTGGATTGTGTCGAGTTTGAAAGGAATTCGAAGCCCAATTCGGGTTTTATGAGCTTCATGATTATTCCAAATTAAGAACCGTTATGGGAGAGGTGCCAGAAGGAGTGGTCCATTCTATTCATTCTTTATACCAAATCTTGAGCTGCTAAAAATATTAGGATTTGCGAAATTTGCAGACAATCGGACTCTTATTTCACATTTTGTTAAGTTATAATTTTTAAAAATGTTAACCCTTCGTTGTGGAGGTACTTGATGAAATGAATCGATATATATATATTCCATTTTTTTGCATATGATCTTGTTCTGGTAGAAATGTTGAGATGTACGAAATTTAAGGTTAATTGGATTCTTGTTTCTCATTTGATAAGACGTTGTAATTATTCGAAATTTTGACGCTTTGTGGGGAAATACCAGAAAAACTGATCCTAAATAGTCCATCTTCACACAAGACTTTTTTGTTAAAAAAAAATGTATTGAGATATTGAGATGTCCGAAATTCGAAGAGATTCTGATACTGTTCCGCATTTTAAAAGTGTTATAATTATTCAAAGGCTGTAGCACCCATTACGAACTTCAAATACGAAATTTAAAACAGTTCCGGTTAATAGTGTCGCAAATGTCATCAAAATACCGAATAAAGGGAAGTACCGTTATATGGGAGCCATGCGATAACGTCGGCATGCATACACCTTTTTTCCGTCACAGGTTCTAGTACTTATTACGAACATCAAATATGAATTTTGGAACATTTTTAGATTTTAGCACCCATTAAGATCTTCCTATACGAAATGCCGGCAAATAATGTCGCTAACATCTTCAAAATACCGAAAATATCGGGAGATAACGTTATATGGGGGCTATTTGAAAACGTGGACGCAATTTATTGTCATAGTCTGCAGTAGCCATTACGAACTTCAAACACGAAATTTGAAACAATTTTAGTGTCGCTAAAATCGTTAAAATACCGAATATAGGGAGTTACCATAATATGGGGGCTATACGAAGACGTCGACCTGCATATGTCATTTTGTGTCACAGACGTTAGTACCCATTAAGAACTTAGAATACGAAATTTATAACAATTCCGGTAAATAATGTCGCTAAAATCATCAAAATAGTGAATACTGGGAGGTATCGAATTATGGGGCCTATACGAAAACTTCGATCGACATGGTCCATTTACGAACTTAACCTGCCTACTGGCAAAATTCTCATGTGTTCAAAATTTTAGCCTTCCAGCTCAATTAGTTCGAAAGATAGCGTGATTACAACAGGCAGACGAACATCGCTAAATCGACTAAGAATTTCACGACGATCCAGATCTATATACTTTGTAGGGTCCAATATAATAATATATTAATATACCCTCCATAGAATGGTGGAGAGTATAAAAATCTGAATTTCGAACAATGAATATCAGCAAATGTCTAAACGGAAATAAATGTGTAAAGATTCCGACTTATTTTTGGGAAAATTGTATTTTTTTGGCACTAAATTTCCTTAGACGTTAACTGAGGTCAAGAATTTTTGTGTATTCTACTTTATCACACTGTCCCACTGTCTCCGCTACGGATTAAAAATATTCCCAATTGTGTCCTGTTTTTAATGATGCTTGCAAACACAATCATTTATTTAACCATTACCAACCGTTTTGTTGGCCAACAATTCTTATTATCTACAAAATTGGAAAATGTCTATCATTATGATTTGCAAGGGAACACCACAAAATTGTCGCCACTAATCGCATTTTATCCTAGATAAATCTTGTTGTATATATCACATACACACAAACAACTTGCGTCTTATTTTCATTGTTGTAAATCATTCTATTTGCCTACCCAACCACCGCCTCCAACCTACCTACCTTTTTCATTGAAATGTTGTGGCAACGGGATGTCTATCGCCTCAAAGTCTCCACGAACATCATTACAATGGAGTCCATCTTTGGAATTGGAATCCCGGCGCTGCAAACGACGATTGCGATTGTGATGATGAAGACTGTGTGATTGATGATGATGCAGCGACGAGGCTTGATGGTGATGCGGTGCTTCCAAATAGCTGTTGGCGGTATCCAAATCATGTGAAAAATCCAAACTTTTCGCTGAGGCAGAGGCCACAAGAATTGTGGCCAAAACCCCAACAACGAGAATGAGTTTCATTGAATTGTTGTAAATATTTTGGCAGGAGAGAGGTTTTAAAGCCATTTCTGTTGGATGTGATTTATAGGTTTGCAAGGAAGGGTGCAGGATAAATTTATGTAATTTTTTATGCTTTATTTTATTTTCAATTCTTTTGTTGTTGTTGTTTTTTTTATTTGTACAATTTATACAAAATACACAATTTTTGCATTTATTTTTTATTAATAATTAATCTCCTCCAGGGGCTTAGCACATTTTCACTTTTTTAACAAAATTTTTAGGACACTGTTATACAAATTATTTTTGTATAGACCCTTAGAATTTTCTTTTTTTTTTTTAATAAATTTACTCTTGGACACCAGACATTACTTTTTTTATTTTTTTTTTCTTTTCTTTTTTAATAGCTATTTTGTTTCGATCTTATGTATTTTTATTATTTCCTTATTTTCGTTGAACTTTATTTGTATTCCTCTTCTTTCTTTACTTTACTTTGCTATCTTATCGATTGATTTACTCTTTTCTTTTCATTTTTTTTATTTGTTGTATTTTTGTAATCTATTTTTTAGTTATTGTGTATTTTTTTATTTTTTTTTTTTTTCTTAAATTTCCTTTAACGTTTCACTTCTTTGACGTGATGGTGTTGTTGCAGTTGTTGTTGGCTTCTACTCTTGCTCTTTTGTTGTATATGTTTAGCCGGTATATGCCACTATTTTTTTGATGGGGCTCTTTGGCTTTGGCTCAAAAATTTGTTGTTTTATTCGATTCACTCACAAAAAAAAAGCAAACGACAACAACTGTGCCAACAACAAGGTGACAGCGGCGGTTAAAAGGGGAATCGGTAAAACGAAGTGGAAATCATTTACACGACACTGCACAAGATTACGACAAAATACGCACGCACACAATCACATAAATGTTGTACTCCGTTGTAAATGTAGCAAACACTCTCGTTTACTCGCCACTCACTATAATTTTATGCCAGAGCAGACTGACGACCAACACGACGAGCACGATGGTGATGACGAAGAACAAACAACGTTGGCTACTCAACTGAATGGTGGAGCTTGAAAGAACAATGATGTCTCGTTGCTTGGTCTGAGATGCGGCCAACGATGTTGACGTCTCAGTTGCTGAGTTGCCTGGTCGGACTGACTGAGACACACACAGAGTGCGAGAGAGAGTATGAACTGAGAGAGAGATAGAGGTTTTGTGTGGCTGATGGTATGAAGTTACGCCAGACACCACGGCTGTTTTGTGAATACTTTTTGTTTTGTTTGTTTTTGTTTTCTAACCGGCTGCTCTTCTTGTTGTAGTTCTGGTTTGGGGTTGCGCTGTTGTAGTTGTTGCAATAAAACCAATGTTTCTATTGTTGACGTTTGGGGTGTTGGGGACGAAGTAGGTTGTATGTTACGCAGGTTGTTTGATTATACTAAACAGTCACGAGCCCCATCAAGCTCACACACAAAAACACACATTGGCATTAATTTAGGCAGCCAACCAGACAGACGTCTTTTTTTTTTTGAGATAGGAGTTGCAAGGGGTTTTCAAACTTGTATCAGATGATTATGTTATTGCTTTATGAATATATTGAGGGGGGCTTTATGGTTGATTTTTTTTCTCCTTCACTTTTCTTGTCACACACTAGGAATCATCAAACTTCTCTTAGTCGTTTGGTTGGTTGGTTGGTTTGCACAAAACTTCTTGTTTCTGTTTTGACTTGGCTCTTTTCGCCTTGCAATAAAATTGCCTGATTTTTTTCAATTTAATTGAATTTATTTTTTGATTATTCTCTCAAAGAATACACATTTACAAATTATTTGAAATTTATTTTTAATTCACAAATTCATTCAATGGTATTCCATTGCTGTTTGGTTTTCTATCTTTTTAACACGATAGGTAGTAATGTAGACGAGATCTACCCTTTCACGCCAACAAATCGGTATGGAACACAGAAAATAATCGATTAATGTTCCGCCGTTAATACCTTAACCATCCAATCGCATTGAAAACTCGTACTCAACTAAAACATGTTTGAAGTGTGCGATAGTTTTCGCAGTTGCTATGGTGGAGGGTTTGATAACATACGCTGCAGCGCTGCATTTCAAACACATGCCAAAGGCATGAATTAATAGATATAGAACACGTTGGAGCCAACATATTGGTTGCGTGCTGCATGTCGCATACAGTAGAACCTTAATAAAGTGCTTGTGATAAGCTAAATTAATAGCAGTTATTTTAAGAAAGAGGTTTTGACAAATTACTAATATTTAGGAAATGTTAATATTATTCCAGTGACAGATCATTATATTGTTTACAAGCGTACAAAAGCATTTTTGGTTAGAATTTTCCAGAAAAAAAGTTATTCGTGATGGAATTTAAGCGTGATTTTGTGATTTCTTTATATTTGACTGGAAGACCACAAGTAGCTACTGTAAGAGCACTCCAGCATTTAAATGTGAATCAATCTTTCGTGTCTCGTACCATCGCTCGTTACCGTGAGACTGGTAGCGTTGCCCGACGTCAAGAAAGAGGACGCAAGAAAACAGCAACATAAGCAGAAATGGCTCGAAAAGTAAAGAAGCAAATTGATCGAAACCCGCGTCGCAGTGGCCGAAAAATGGCTCGTGAGCTGAATATAGGGCAATATTCCATGCGGCAAATATTGAAAAATGAACTCGGAGTAAAGCCATTCCAAAAAGTGCAAGAACTCACACCTCACCGGAAAAAAATACTGAAAAGAGCTAAAGAGTTGCATCGCTTGGCCGAAAGTGCTGAACTACCGGATTTGGATTTCTCCGGTAAGAAAACATTCGTTGTCCCGCAGTTTGTAAATAAGCAAAATGATTGTGATTACTTGCCAAAGAGGTCAGCTGAAAATGCACCTTCGGTTGGCCAACAGAACTCAAGCGCCGGCCATGGTGATGGTGTAGGCCGCCATAACAGCAGATGGTCGCTCTCCGCTCTTATTAATTGACGTGGCATCAGAATAAATGCCCAATATTATCGCGAAAATATTCTGGTATTAAAGCCTTGGGCACGCAAACATTTTGGCCGCGGGCCTTGGACATTCCAACAGGACTCAGCAAGCGCCACCCAAGAATGGTTACAAAATTAGGTTCCTCCCTTCATTTCCATCGCACAATGGCCACCCAAATCTCCGGATACCAATCCATTGGACTATTGTGTCTGGAGTATTTTGGAAAGCAAGGTTGGCACTAAAAAATACCAAAGCAAGCGCTTCGCCGGGAATGGGGCATTCGGGCAGCGTGTGACGGATTCATTGGCTTTTTGAAGGCCATAATTCGTGCCAAAGGTGATTAATTCGAACAAATCTAAACTTATTCTAAAATTTGATGCTATTTCCGAAATTTTTAGCTTTCATTCAATAAAATTGAAAAAATGTAAAAATTATGGCGTTTGACTTTGTTGCAGTTTATTTATTTTATCCTGTATATTCTTGATCAGCATAAAGTTCTATGTCGATTTAGCGATGTCTGTCCGTTCGTCTGTGGAAAAATTAAAATAAAAAAATAAAATTTTATTTAGATGTGTGTTTGGCTACAAGACTTTTAATATTGAAAATGGGCTATATAGGAAAGGTTTTGGTATATCCTCCCATACATCTGTATCGACAGATTTAAGTTTTTTTGTGTGTCAAAGTCGCAATTTTAAACCAAATTTGCTGTAAATTGGCAGTTTGTGTTCCCATTATGTAAGAAAAATCCTTGCATAGAATTGTCAATGTAGGTCTGACTTTTGATATAGTCCCCGTATAACGGTACATCCTGTATTTTGATGATTTTAGCGACATTATTCACCGGAATTGTTTCAAATTCGGTATTTGAAGTTCGTAATGGATACTACAGCCTAAGACAGAAAATTATCTGTGCAGGCCCACATCTTCGTATAGCCCCCATATAACGGTACCTCCCGATATTCGGTATTTTGTGATTTCAGCAACATTATTCACCGGAATCGTTTCAAATTTCGTATTGGAAGATCTTTACGGGCACTACAACCTATGGCAAAAAATTCGTATACAGGTCCACGTCTTTGTATATCCCACATATAACAGTACCTCCCGACATTCGGTTTTTGCGATATTATTCACCGGAATTGTTACAAATCACGTATTTGAAGCTCGTAACGGGTACTACAGACTATGAAAAAAAATTCGCATGCAGGTCCACGTTTTGGTATATCACCCATATAATGGTACCTCCCGATATTCGGTTTTTTGATGATTTTATCTACGCATTTGAATACTGTAATGGCTAATGACAAAAGTTGCCTATTCAGGTCTACGTCGTCGTATGGACCCTAATGTAAAGGCTACATTCGTATTTGTGAGATTTTAACTGAATTTTTAACGGACTTTATTTTTTTGAAAATTGCTAATTCGTTTAAAATGGTAAAGTATTCAAAGATCGGCCCGGCCTAACATACAGCTTTTTTACTTGTTATTAAACAAATTAACACATAGACAGGTAATAAAGGAGCCTATTGGGTCACTTTATTCAAAAGCGTTCAAAAACTCCATGGCGAAATTAACGATATGATACTCTAAACAAATTGTTTGTCAAAAAAATTTACTGTAGGTCTCAGAATTCTCCAAAAATTTGCATAAAATCCAGAAATCCGTAAAAACAGAAAAAAAAGAAATGTGTTAAGGGTTAAAGTCGCCATCCATTTCTGTTTATACTCTACACCACACAGTGGCCAGGGTATTACGACTTTGTGCATTTGTTTGTAACATGGAGACGAAAGCGAGATAGACCCTTTTGATGGCCTGCCTGAGTCGATTTATACCGCCCGTCTGTCTATCCATGAAGTTTTATGAACAAAATGTAGGTCACATTTATAGTCCGATTTAGATACAATTTTACACAGGTCATTCTATCGACCCAAGGACGAACCCTATTGAAATTGGAGATAATCGGACCAAATACGTATCAAGCTACAGCCGATTTTCAATACCAAAAGTCCGGCAGACCTAACACACAGGTGAGTAAAATTTCATCAACCTACTTCATTTTGTTCGAAAGATACAGTGATTTCCACAGAGGGTCGGACATCGCTATATCGACATAGAATTTATAAAATTTATATTTATAAAATTTATATTTCGAAGTGTTACAAGCGGAATGACAAACTTAATATACCTTACATACTATGACGAAGGGTATGAAAAAATAATGAAACATATCGAAAACGACGACCAACTTTTTCAAACATTTATCTGGACGCAAATGAAAATGAAATACAGGTTCTATGAATCTATTAGCGATCAAACATTTTTAAACTTAGATACATTTTCATTGATATTTTCTATTTGATCTGGACAGTTGTTTATTCATTCATATCTGTATGACAAACATGGAATTGGTTTGGTTGTTGACACACATGTTCGTTTGCAACATGTAGGGACAGTTAAACATGCATCCATAAGATACTTTTTGTTTGAGTATCTGTGTTTACCTATCTGAACCATGCAGGTTAGTCAACAAATTCCAAGTTCTTCTTTGTCAGCCTGGATATTCTTCTTTTTACGCTTCTTCAGTTACCTACCTGTCTGCCTATTGTTGAATTTGTTCTTTGCTGCACAGTGCTTCCAAGCAGAAACTATTCTGAAACATGCGTGTGATATAGATTTTTTATACCCTCCACCATAATATGGAGGGTATATTAGCTTTGTCATTCCGTTTGTAACTCCTCGAAATACTCATGTAAGACCTAATAAAGTATATATATTCTTGATCAGCGTAAAATTCTATGTCGATCTTTATGTGTCTGTTGTAATCAAGCTATATTTCGAACAAATCCAGATAGAAGGCTGAAATTTTGCAGACATGTTTACTTTGTTCGTAATTGGGCCATTAGGTCCACGTTTTCATATGGCCCAATTGAACGGTACCTCCCGATATCCGGTATTTTGATGATTTTAGCGAAATTATTCACCGGACTACAACCTTAGACAGAAAATTGACTGTGCAGGTCCACGTCTACGTAGAGCTCCCATATAACGGTACCTCCAGATATTCGGTATAACGGTACCTCCCGGAATTATTTCAAATTTGATATTGGAAGTTCGTAATGGACACTACAGCCTATGACAGAAAATTGTCTGTGCAGGTCCACGTCTTCACCCATTTAACTGTACCTCCCTATATTCGGTATATTGATGATTAAGGCGACATTATTCACCGGAATTGTTTCAAATTTGATATTTGAAGTTCCAAAGGGATACTACAGCCTAAGACAGAAAATTGCCTGTGCATGTTCACGTCTTCGTATAGCCCACATATAAGGGTACCTTCCGACATTCGGTATTTTGATGATTTTAGTGATATTATTTATCGGAATTGTTTCAAATTTGGTATTTGAAGTTCGTTATGGATACTACAGGCTGTAACAGAAAATTGTCTATGCAAGTCCAGGTCTTCGTATAGCTCCGATGTAACGGCACCTCCCTATGTATGGTATTTTGATTCATTATTCACCGTTTATTTCAAGTTTCGAATTTGAATATGGTGATGGCTTATGACAGCAATGCCTATGTAGGTCCACGTCGTATAGATCCCAATATAACGGCTATATTCGGTATTTTTAAGATTTTAACGGATTTTATTTTTGAAAATTCCCAAATTCGTTCAAATGGTGGAGGGTATTCAAAGTTCGGCCCGGCCGAACTTACTACTTTTTAACTTGTTTATATACCAATCCGGCTAAGATATGGCTCAATAAAATAATAAAAAAAGTTTTTGGTAAAGTTATATGACAAAAGGAACTTTGAACTATGACACAATAAACAAGTAAAAAAGCAGTAAGTTCGGCCGGGCCGACTTTGAATACCCTCCAGCATTTGGAACGAATTAGGACATTTTCAAAAAATAAAAATAAAATAAATTAAAAATTATGTTAAAATCTCGGAAGGTGCCGATATATGGGGAGATAAACGATATTGTGGACCTATAGAGACAAATCTATGTCTGGGGATAAATTACTCACAAAT